TAAAAGGTTAAAGTTACCAACCCAAAGCAAACAAGAGTAGCAATAAGGCAAACTGGTATTTGTTTTCAGAGGCCTCAAAAGCTATTTTGCACACATCTGGCATACTTTTGCAAACTTAGTAAGTAGCAAAAGGAATTCAGATCCTCATATGAAAGCACGCTCACTTCAATCAGTGTTATTCTGGAGAAAGGCAGTGGTAGAAAAATGGACAAGTAGTGGGGAGAGGAAGGCCTCTCTGGAGCGCTTGTTTGTTCAAAACAGACACACAGAAGGATTGAATACACAGAGTAGTGCATCCACCTGGGGTCCTGGGAGGGCTTCCCCAAGGAGGGAGATAGGTGTGTTGTGCTTTAACAAAGGAGCTGTGAGAACTTACTGAGACCAGAGCATTGCACAGTGCATAGCATCTACTCAGGAACTGAACACCTGCTTATTAGATGAATGAGTGAGCCAGGCTGAATAGCCTTGAAGGCATAATTTCCTTAAGTACACATATGAATAATTCAGTCTCTAAGAAACAGTTCAAATGACTCCAGCCACAACTACATGACTTTGAGCAATGTTAGTAATCACAGGCAATATTTGTTATACACTTACCATGTGCCGGGAAGTTTATAAATGCTTTCCAATACAGTGTCACATTTAATTCTCTTAACTGCTCTGAGGCAAGGACTTTCAGTATCCCCATTTTACAGATAAAACTCTACTAAGTCCCTTGTCCCAACAGAGACAGACTTAGCTCCAAGCTAATAAAGCTTTAGCAACAGGGCCATACACCTCACTCAATGCCCTCCCAAGGCCCTGGCAGGAGTCCTAGCTATTTATTTTCAGGATCATATATTTTAGTAACATTTTCAAGAATGAGCCTTTTATTCTTTTTCTTAAGGAGAACTCCTAAGAGATGATTTAAGCTTCAGGCCCAACAAACCTTAGAAACGTTGTCCCCAAGGACACACAGCTGGTAAGTGGCACCCCAGCCTATAATCTTGACCACTAAGTTCCTTTCTATCATTGAGCCATGGGTCCTCAGCTGGAAGTTGCAAATATTTACAGCCCCACATCTCACACAGTGTTGTAAAGATCACACGTCAGAAGGGATATGAAAGTTCTTTGTTCTTCTATTTTTTCCATCGTCTGTGTATTGTTAATGTGTTGGTGACATAGAGCACATGTAACACACATCTATTTTGTTAAACACTTTAATAATAATAGGAAACCCTATCCTTATGTTGAGTGAACATAAAAGGCAACAGGAATGTGTGTGTGCATGTGTACATTCATCTGTATGTACACACATCTGTACATGTGCTCATCTGTGTGTAAGCAATAAGCATCAAAAGCAGCGAGCAAACAAGTAGAAACGCAACAAAATCTTAATGTTTATTCTTCAGAGAAAACAGTTTTTTATTTTCTGTGTATTTTAACTTCTGAACATACATCCTTAATCAATTTTTAAAGATATTTTATGTGTATGAGTGTATTGCCTGCATGTGTATTAGTGCACGCATGTCATGCAATGCCCTTGGAGGTCAGAGGAGGGCGGAGGATCCCCCAGAACAGTTATGGATGGTTCTTACCTGCCATGTGAGTGCTGGTAATGGAACCTGGGTCCTCTGCAAGAGCAGTCAGTGCTTTTTTCACCATTGATCCATCTCTCCAGCCCCTCAATTTTTTAAAGTAATCTGTAGGGTCTGGGAAGATTGCTCAGTGGGCAAAGTGCATGTGGTGTAAGAATGAGAATGAGAACATGAGTTCAGATCCTAAGCACCCACATAAAAAGCCTGACTTGGTGGTACATTCCTGTAGCCTCAGCACTAGGGAGGCAGGGACAGGCAGAGCCCAGGGGCTCAATGGCCAGCCAGTCTAAATGGCAAGCTCCAGATTCAGTGTGAGTCCCTGTCTCTAAAAAAGGTGGGGAGTGATTGAGGAAGACACCCAGTGTAGATCACTGGCCTCTGTAAATACACGCTGGGATGAATGCATCCCACAGATGTGCAGTCACATTCATAAGACACACACACACAAAAAAAAGTAGTATGTACTTAGTTTTAAATTGTAAATGATGCTAAAAAGCTTAATAAAACCAAACGCACTCCACATCCTATCCTCGCTATGAATTAGAAGCAGAAAAAGTAGCAATGTAAAGCTCATCCCACACACATTTATACTTGTTAACACTCTTGAAATTATAAGCAGAGAGAGAGCAAAAGTCTTATAACGTTTACTAAGTCAGCCTTTAAAAAGTAGCTTGGCTTCTAAAACTTAAATGTTACTTAGTTAATAATCAGTGATTACCAGTCTATGATACCAGAAAGGAAGAAGGAAAAAAGAGGATATAACAATTTTCAAATAGACAGGCATTCAAGGAGACCAGATGTTCAGTCTCCAATAAGAAGGTATGGTCTCTTCCTTCTGAGTAGAGGAAAGATAGATCTGTGGAGTTCAGGCGTTTGTTACAATTAAGTGCTGTCTTTCACAATCTCAGATTGAACCTCTATGTTTAAAACTAACAAAACCCATAGGAGGTTAATCTTGGGATGTAAACAGTCCTCACTTGATAGAGAGTGCCCTGAAGGCCATAGTAGGAAATGGCCAATGTAGGCCAAATCTCCTTGATTACGGAGCCAGAGTGGGAAGTCAGAATTGGAAGCTTCCAGTTCTGCTGTGTTTTATCATTTAAGGAAGTCTGGTCTAGTAAACATCTATCATGTTCCATAGTTTGACCCTGAGGTGGCTTCACAGTTCATGTTGCTAGAATCAAATCTCAGAGGTTGCCGAAAGAATTGCTCCTGAATCTAAGGAGTGGACAAGAAAGGGGATATCTTGCAGAACATTTAAAAACAAGCAACCTCCAAGCCATGCTTC